CCCCAAAACCCCAAAACCCCAAAACCCCAAAACCCCTTCACAAAGATATTTTATTGCGAATAAGAAATGAATAACCTAGATTTCAAGTTATTGTGGGAGAAGAAATTTCTTAAATGCACTTTTTAAGATTAGTTCTTCAAAGATTTCTTGTTAAAGGTTATCTTCTCCTAGTACTGACTCTACTTCCACCTCTTGCTCCCACACCTCTACTCGAATTTCCATTCATTGCTCTTGAACTTCCTCTAGCTTTTATTTCCCCTGAAACTCCTTTTGAAAGTCCTTTACCTTGAGCTTTTGAAGGACTTCTTGGAGAAGAGCTTTTAGATCCTCTTTGAGATGGTCCTGAAGGCCCTTTTGGGGATGATCCGGGAGGGCCTTTTGGAGATGGCTTTGGAGGGCCATAAGAAGGACCTCCTTGACTACCTCTTGGGTCATATCCATAATCATACATATCACTTCTCGGACCATATTTATCGTATCCTCCCATGTCTGAAGGTCCGTTCATTCCTGGATATGATCCATTATCGTATACTCCCATGTCAGGGTATCCGTCTGACCCATATCCGTCAGGCCCATATCCGTCAGGCCCATATCCGTCAGGCCCATATCCGCCTGGTCCATACCCGTCAGGGCCGTAGCTATCAGAGCCGTAGCTGTCAGGGCCGTAGCTGTCAGGGCCGTAGCTGTCAGGGCCGTAGCTGTCAGGGCCGTAGCTGTCAGGGCCGTAGCTGTCAGGTCCATATCCGTCATGTCCATATCCGTCATGTCCATATCCGTCATATCCATATCCGTCATGTCCATAGTCATCCGATCCATAATCATCATATCCTCCGTTAGGATACCCATTTGCTTCAAAATCTTCTGGGCCACCATATCCATCAGGCCCATATCCATAATCTCCATAATCATCGTGACCTCCGTAGTTGTAATTGCCATAATCTTCATAATGGTCATCAGAGGGACCGTAGCCATCATCGCCGTAGCCGCCATATCCATAATCATCATAGCCATTGTTATCATAGCCCATATAGTCATCGTCAGAATACCCATTATCGTACTTATCATGGCCAATATAGCCACCGTCATTATACTTGTCGTCTTCAGCGTACTTATCATTATGGTAGTCATCACTTTCATCGTACTTAGGATCGTAGCCCCAAGAGTCATCTTTATTGTTGGAATTGGAGTTATCAGGAGGTCCATCAAGACCAGGATACATATCAGTAGCATCAGCATAGCCAATGTAGTCCTGCAAATACCTCTTAACAGGGTTATCTGCACTTGATAGGCAGATTAGTAACACTAAAAATATTACCAATTTCATTTTATTTTTACACTTTTAAGTTTCATTTAAGTGGTCCTGGATCGGGGTTTTGGGGTTTTGGGGTTTTGGGGG